TACAACTATGATAAACATTATAGAGATATTTGTTATAAGTTATAATTATGGATAAGTTGTTACACTCACAAACAACAAATCCCGTTATTATTTTGAAACGATACATAACGATATGATAACGAGGTATTGAAAACTATATAATATCATGTGCTCGAGTATGTGCACAATTTGTATGATGATTTTTGAGTTTTTGAAAGATAGTATTTGAACCAAGACATCGCGCAATAACAATGACGCTTGGCACATATACAGTCTGCCCTAAGTTGTTTTCCCGCCAACTCCGCTTTACAAAATGTACTGTTTTAAATCAGAAAAAAAAGTTAAAGGTCAACTACACTCTTTCAAAGTTCAGAGGATTCAACAGAGCGCACAAACATCGTAAATGAACACGTGCTAAACGACGCATCACACACGAAACATGTGATAGGCGGGGATCTTTTTGTCTTTTCAAACCCGGTTACTGTGAAACAGCACCAGGCGACCTTAACCATTAGACCATCACGCCGCCTAGTTATTCCGCCCAGAAAACAATCATTCAATTAAAAAATTAAACAAAAGTTACCTTTCTTTTTGCTAATATTTTTGTATGCAATTATATCGATTCGACACATTATAATAACTATACGAGACAAAATTTTTTTTTTCGTATTTTTTATTTGATACGAGACTTTTTGGAGAATGTCTCGTTTTAATAACGATACGATATTTTTAGAATCTTTATTAAACCAGTCATTCAATTGGAAAAAATTAAATAAGTTTCAATTTTTTTATAACCCTTTATTTTTTAACAATTTCCACACATTGAAATAATCGTACGAGACGAAAATTGTGTCTTGTATTTTTTATTTCGATATGATAGACTTTCCTGAAAATGTCTTGTTTAAATAACGATAGGAGATTTCTGGTATTGTTATTAAAAGATACGAGATTTTTCGTATCGTTTTATAACGATACGAGATTTTTTTTATCGTTATTATTATTAAATCTCTATTGATAACGTATAACAAAAATAACGGTTCGAGATGCTGGTGCATAGTATAAGGTTCTATATATTATTTTGTTGACATTATAATACAATTTAAAAATTGTAAAGTATATTATCGAATATTTTAAAATTGTGCTATACTTACTTCAATTTATAAATTAATTTTAATTAACTCGGTGAATTAAACAGGAACTGCAAAGAAGTGT